CAGTCATGGGCTTTTTCTGCTCTATTGCTCCACACTGGCTTGCGTTTCTCTATGAAGGCCCGGATCCCCTCCTGTCCGTCTCTCAGAGCCAGGTTGTCAACCATCACCTTGGAGGCAGTGGCATATGCTGCATCTCGGCCTTGAGACATTTGTCTTTGGAAGAAACAAAGGAGGGAAGAACAACAACAATTTTTCACTAGGAATCCTGATTATTATGGCAATTTTTTATAACATTTTATCTGTCACTGTCCCATATTTAAAGTTTGTTGCTGGTTTATTATAAAATTGACAGTCTCCGGCTTAAATAAACATCAATTTATGTGTCTGGTACTTCCACTATCTGTCACCCAACCTCTGTAAGCGTTACCTGCATTTATATAGCATGTGGATTTCCAGTGATAGAATCATTTAAAAAAATTATGAAACTAATGAATGAGAATAATGTTTTCCTGAAGGTTAAATGCTACATACTGATTATTAGATTTGATTTAAAGTGAAATTCAACCCTTGCATGGTTCTTGGACTTTAAAGAAACACTGATAACCACAATGCAAAAGGTGAAAAAGAGTCTGTTTGCACTCTGACCTTTGGAAAGTGGCTTTGCCGAGGGCTACGACGGGTCGGCTAGCCTGGCACACCCGCTGGGCAATGGCCATCGTCTCCTCCTCCAGTCGCTCTTCTGGCACCACCTTACTGACCAGGCCGTGCAGCAGAGCATCATGGGCTGAGATGGGAGTTCCTGTGAAGAGCATCTCCATGGCAACCTGGTAAAAAGAGAAGAGCAAAGGGGTATATCAAATACAGCTTGATACTGCATATTTGTAATAAAAATATAAATCTGATCACAATATATCAGCTGATTCATTTGTAACATACTGTAATTATGTACAATTAACATGACAAGGAATTTGGTTATTATTTGGCAGGTTAAGAGGAACAGTGAAAAGGTGATGTCTTAAAGTTCCTTGTTTTGTCTGACCAAAAGTTAAAAACTTAAAGACGTTCAATTTACAATAAATAAATAAATACAGTAAAACATAGAAATATGCAAAAATTTTGAGAAGCTGGAACATAAAATTTGGCATTTTTGCTTTATAAAAGACATCAAAGGGTGATCACAATTTATTTTCTGTCAATCAACAAATCATTATTTCAGCTCTAAAGATAACTTAAGACTAATTTTGAACCATAACTGGAAATTTCATTATTGTAAAGAATAGATAACAATATAACAAAACTTAATTTACAAAACATAACCTTCAAATAAAAGTGTAAAATTCAGTGAAAAAGCTTTAATGTGATTAATTTTTTCTTGCGCATTTGCCAACATATGAGCCAATACTGGTTTTTGTAATCAGCCAATCATTTCCCCTATTTCTAGATAATAGATAATAAATAATCAAGTGTCATTTTCTTGACCACCATTGGCGTAAATATCACCCTGACACTGGATTACTATTGAAGAGCCACTGTATTGGAAAACATTAGCATGAGCTAATTGTGATGGGTTAGGGTTACCTTCCTCGGCACGGCTCTGCCGATGGCCACCGCCGGCGTCGAGCAGAACAGACCCACATTGACACCCGGAGTGGCGAAGGTGGACTTTTCGGTCACGACAGCAATGTCACAACTCGCGACGAGCTGGCAACCAGCCGCCGTGGCAACACCATTCACCATGGCGACCACCGGAACAGGTATGTCTTGTATGAGAGTCATTACCTGAAGCATAAGAAGCCAATGAGTTATGAGTCACCTTATGAAAATAGTTAATAGTGATTATTTATTTATTATCAATTATCAATGGGCGAAATATGTTTTCAGTGGAGCCTGTGATAATATTGACAGTGATAAAACAATGGATTGGTTGTTTAAGTAATTTATGTATCCATCCAAAGTATAAATTTCCAAACATGTCTTTGTTACAGCTTCTCAAATGTGAGTTTTTACTTGTTTTTCTCATTTCATTCATTAAACTGAATGTATTTTGCTTTTTGACTATCTGAAAACATCAGCTTTTCAATGTTGTGACAGGCATTTGTTATGTGTAAATTGTATACATTTTACATGCTAATCGATTAATTTATTAATTAAAATAGTGATATATTGGTGGCTTTTTAGAACAAGTTAGTGTATTAAAGATGTAATCAGTCAAACTGTAAATATGTAAATATCAGAGGTGAACGACACTCAAGAGAGACAAACTCACCTCTGCACAGGTGTGAAACACCTTTGTGTGATATTTCCTGCCCTGAGCTGACGTCAACTCCTTCAGGTCGTGTCCGGAGGAAAACACTGGACCTTTGGCTAAAACACACACACATGCAAAGTTAAACCAAGATGCTTCTCCCGCTCACACACACACACACACAGACACACACACACTTATTAAAAACACCGACCTGATAGGATAATAACTCTGAGGTCTTCACTGTCGACATCAGTCAGGATGTTCTCTCTGAGAGATTCCAGCATGGACAAAGACAGAGCGTTCCTCTTCTTGGGATTGTTCAATATTATTCTCCTTAAACCCAAGAAGAAGAAGAAGATGTTACATTAACTTATCACATCTACTGGCACTGTCTTGCTTTCTGTTCTCGGCGATCAAGTATTTTATGTGGGTTTAGTAAAAGACTTTTGTGTGTTTGGCAAAGAAAAATAGACAGAGCGAAAATGCTGTATTTTTCCTCCCTTACATACTGTATATCTAATGGCTGCATAGTTTTACAAAAAAACTAACTCATAAATTAAGTGATGGGAGAAGTATTTTTTTTTAATTAAAGTTGAAATAAAAGTTGTAATAAAATAATGCAGAAATACTCAATTACAAGAAAGACCTGCATTTATAATGTTGATTAGGTACATGTGATGAAGTATTTTCCGCATATAATGAACTCTTTAAAGAGGAATAATCTGGTATCTATATTTCTTTTTTTGTCTCACAGTTTTATTGCAATGTGTTGTGGGTTTTTTCAATTTGCCTTTTATATTATTTTTTCATTATATCTTATTTCCATTATATTTATTTTTAGAATCTTTTACTACTAGTATTTATTGTACTATCATTACTCTTGCAGCACGTTTGTATTGTAAGTATATTTGAATGTTTTCCAATAAAGGTTGGAGGAAAAAAAACAGTATGTAAAGTAACTTATTGGTGGTGCCTCCAGACCTTAAGAGAGAAAAGTTTCATTTTAGTATTTTCTTCATGTCCCCACACTACTTTATATACGTTCTATTTTATGGTGCAGTTTTTCCTCAAATGAATAATGTGAATACACTGATGACATCCCAATGTTGACATTGCAATAATATGCTTTACACAGTAATAATATTTATGCCGAATTTACCTTGAAACCCTGTCATGTGTAACACAGTATTATATGTACAGCTGTGACACGCTTTTGTTGTTAAAATCTACGTTTTCTCCTTAAATCGACTGTTTCTACCGGTCAGCTACTTGTACACAAGTATTTACAACAGTTATACAACAGTTCTGAGACGACGGACACATTTCGTTGCTGCACCTTATTCCGTTGTTTTGTTGTCTCACCGTCAGCGGCTCCGGTTCGGTGTGAGAGTAAAACCGGGTTCCGCTCAGCAGCGTTGTTGCCCTGCTGAGCTGGAACACACCGACAGCCCTGCTCAGTAAACTACGAGACATGTTTCACCGTCACCGCTTCACTTCTCCGCTCTACACTCTCACTTCCGTGTACGATGACGTCGACGACACGTGGTACTACGTCAGAATAAATCAATAGACGCGCTTTAAAAATAAAGAAAGAAAGAAATAAACTTGAAAATTCCTGAAGAAAACATAGCAAGACATGTACACACACATGTACATGCCCTAACAGAGGTTGGTCTGCGGTAAATCTACTGTGATTTCTCCTGCTAGAACAGAACAATATGGACAACAGTAAAAAAAAAAAAAAAGAAGAAAGTCTGGTGTCTGTATCCAACAATACTATTTGCACAAAGGCGGGAAGTTGCATACAACCTTAAAATTTAATGTTGCTTTGACTAAGTATGTATGTGTGTGAGCTTGAAAGTGACTACCTATATGAACCTAAAAACATTCAGCTATCAAAAATATAATATAAGTTTTAGTCAAATTAACTCAAAACTCAAAAGTTGTTGGCTTAATATAAAACAATTATGTCAAGCTCACAAAGGATGCTAATTTTGGCTAGCAAAGAAATAGGCTCCTCTGAGTGTCTTTTAGAACAACTGAACGCCGAACAAGACATTTTGAGGCAGACATGTCGGAGCTAACTTTGACGAACTAAAAACACAATGACAAGTCACATGTCCGACACATCGCTCTCGCCTCATATCCGAATTAACAGGCAGGTCCCCCTGTGTGTCAATCATGCGGTAGCCACGCCCTAAAACCGCTCTGTTTTAACGTCTATTTTCTTTTAAATAGGACCATAATTTTAAAAATGAACATCATGTCGTATTGAAGAAAACCTCAAACTAGCGATTCAGACCATAAACACGTAACGAAAACTGAGGTAACAAATCAAGTGACAACTTTTTGCAACCAGTCGAGTCGCCCCCTGATGGTCATTCGGTAGAATGCAAGTTTAAGGCACTTCCGCATTGGTTTCAATTTCCAGACCCGGAGTCGACGTCCATTTTTATATACAGGGTAAGAGGCACACGTATTGTTTGTGTGGGTTTTCTCAAAGCTGGGGAATAAATACGCGCCAAAATTTCGATACGGAAGATGAATAACACGTATAAGTATGCAGAATAATAATATGCAATATGAAAAATTATAAAGAAAAATAATCTTTAGCAATGCAGCGATGACATTTAAAATAAATACCATGGAGAAAAAAAAACAGTTATATCCTTTATTAGACTTTAAAAATAAAAGTTATTTCTACACATCAGTCATGCATCATCCTTACACATCATCGCGTCTTCAAATCACCTGACTCGGGCTTCCGTAGCCGAGAGGCACATGACCAGGAAGAGAGGGAAGTGTTGTCTCAAACAGAAACAGGGCCGAGTCTTGTTCCTTGTCTTTCCTCCGGAGTTTCTCGCTCAGTTGCAACATTTCACGCGGCGATAAGGCGCAGAGCTGAGGGAAGAGACGGACAGGCTTTTAGCGCTTTAATATTGAATTATGAAAATGGGCTCAAATCGCTGCTTTCGGCCGACGTTATTGAGTTGTCTCCTGATCTGCGTCACTTTGTGGAGCAACCTGAGCGCCGGGGTGTTTGCCAAATCATACCGGAGACCAAACATTGTTCTGATCCTCACCGACGACTTGGACATCGCTATCGGGGGTCTGGTAAGTGGATTTTTTTTAATCAACATGCTGCTTTTTTTTTTTTTTTAAATCACACGTCGTTTATTATTTAGCATCTAGTTTGAGAGTCGTGACTTTTGTATTTACACATATTTTTTGAAGACATGTCATCGGGAAATATGTGATTGATTGGTTTTAATTTGATATTTAGCTCAGGCCAGTGGAGCTGACTGCTCACATTCCTGGTTGGACACATCATTTAGGCATCTCACAGAGTCAGCAGCCTTATCACCTCCAGTCTGCTCCCACAGTTTCATCACACACCCTCCCTCCTTCTACAACCCCCTTATCTATCAGGGCTCCATTGGAAAACATTGTTTTTAAAAAGATGTTTACAGACTGGTGGCTTGTACAGCAGTGATCTGTAACACCTTTTCTTACATCAACCTAAAATGTTAATTGATTCTGTAAATGTTGAACACTGTAACAAAGACAAACATAAACTGCTGATGTCTGGCTTTAATTCATGTCTTTATACCTAAAATAAGTAAGGCTGAAATACTGATTTGGTGTTTAAACTTAGATGACGTACTGTCTTGCAAAACATCTCAACACTAAAGCTGCAAACTAACAACTGGTCAATAAGCAAACAAACTAATCTAACTAATCAGCTTGATAATCAATAATTTTTTCAAGGAAAAACTGCCATTTATTCTGATTTCTAGGTCCATATTCTCCAATATTAAGAATTTCTTCTTCTCGCTTTTATATCAATAGTTCAAAACCTAAAAATATTCAGTTTAATTAATTAAATTGGTGTAATTCTCTTGTCAAGACTTTTCAAGAATATCTGCACTCAATATTCAGCTTTAGTTCAAAAATATTCCTACCAGTCAAAGTTAAATTAAAAGAGGTGCAATACATATATTCAGTTTTTAAATGCACATTTCTAATTGGTCTGAACAATGTTACTCCATTGTTTCCAAAAACATGTAAGCTGTGTTTGTATAAAATATTCACAAATTAATATTATTTGTATTCCTTTGCGTTACCATGCCAGGTACTGATGCAATAGGTTTTCTCCATCAAGAAGAAGCTTAGTCATGGAGACAGTGAGACAGAGAAACTGAGCTTTACTGCTGAATCATGCTGTAAATTAAGAAAAAGAGCTTGCTGCAACAGTTTAAGTATATTTGAGTGGCAGATAAATGAGGCCAGGTTAATGTGAGCAACATTTTGTCTCGTCACACCCAAATCTTCTCCTTCCAGAGTCCACTTAACAAGACGAAAAAACTAATTGGAGATGCAGGGATAACGTTCACAAATGCAGTAAGTATCATCGCCCCTCACTGTCTTCACTCACATCCTAAATCAGAGCCATTTTCTGTCTCTCTAGTGCTGACTTTTTCTTTTCCCCTCCCCTCTTCCGTCAGTTTGTTGCCAGCCCGCTGTGCTGCCCCAGCCGGGCCAGTATCCTGACGGGGAAATACCCGCACAACCACCACGTCATCAACAACACCTTAGAGGGAAACTGCAGCAGCAAAGCCTGGCAGAAGAGCGAGGAGGCCAACACCTTCCCCGCCCTACTGAAAGCCTCCGCAGGCTACCAGACCTTCTTCGCAGGGAAATACCTCAACCAGGTGAGGAGAGATCGGACCAGTGTGTAAATTTGCATCGACAAATAAACATGGTCCCCTTTGTTCTCCGTGTATCTTATTTTTAATTAATCAAGAAGGGAAATGTGCCATCATCCGAAGAACGAAGGGAGTTAAAATAATTTTCCACCGATGTTTAGTTGAGTTTCCACTTGCTAATAGCAGAACAAAGCAGATTGACTTACTGTTGTTCATTAAACAGCTCTGTGTTTCCAGAGGCTGTCGTCTCAAAGTGCAGTACAGGAAATGATGAAGAAACAGTGATAGCACTCTATGGTTAACATACTATATGTGCTCCATATTACAGCTTTACAGCTACTTTATTTTACAAGTCTTTCTTTATTTTTTACAATTGTCACCCAGTCAAGTCCATTTTTATGTATGTAGCACCAAATCGAGAGGGAAAAGCAGAGGACCAAGAACAGAGCCCTGGGCTACTCCATATTTCATATCAGAATATGTTGATATAGTGTTATAGGATCAAAAGCTGCACTGAAGTCCAGTGGGAGGAGCACACAGGTGGAATCTGAATCAATAGAAATCAGAAGATCAGTCGTCATTGGAAACAATAAATGGAAATGGGGTCATGAGGTGATCAGTAAAAGTGAAATTCATCTTATTCTGTGAAAATGTTATGAAATAATCTGTATTTGACTCTGTGTGTTTCAGTATGGGCACTCGGAGGCCGGTGGAGTGGAGCATGTTCCTCCAGGCTGGAGCTACTGGATCGGACTGGTAAGACTTTATTTAACCTTTAAGAAACACATTTACTCTGAGGCTCCTTCCTGTCTGACATCAGGCAGGACTCATGAATCAAATAGAAGTACGGGGGGAAGACTTATCATTATTGGTATAAAAATGATCAAATCAAATAGAAAATAATTATTAAATCAAATTTTTAAAAAAAAGTCATTACAACTTGAGCAGAAAATGTCAGAATGAGCCTTTACAGTTTTGTATTGTCTAAACAATTTAATGCAAATTGTCCATATATTGTTATAGATCAGACGTTTAAGCAATGAGGTTTGTCCCACTTCTGTGAGAAGTTTGTTTTTGTAACAGTGCTTCATGGTCATGTGACTGGACGCTCAGTGCAGAAGGAGCCAGACTAATCAATAGTCTAAAATTAGATTTTCTTGAACGTACAGCAGGTCTCTGACTGGTTTACAGAAGCCATTACAGAGTACGACTGCAGACCAGTTTCTCTTCACTGGTTCTTACTGGGCAAACAGAGAGAGAGAGACTCCTCCTGTTAAAGCAATACATCAAACAGCTGTACACAGACTTTAGAGCTTATCCTTATCATGTGACCGTGATCGATTTGAAATTTGCACTATTTGCAATCTGCTAACCTACTTTTAGAAAATCAAACAGTCTGCATCAAATTGACTGCTGCTTGTTTGTGTGGGAAAGAAAAATAAAATCATGTATGTTTCTGCAGCAGAAACGAGGTCATGACTGAAATGAGACTGTTTTGTTTGTACTGTGCAAAGAAAGAGCAGAGGTCATTTCAGTGTCGTCACATGGGGGAGGTAACATCCCTGATATTGTGTTTATTGCTTTTTCTCATGATTACACCAAATTTAGATTATGGCTCCTAGCTTACACCGACATATAAGACAGACATATATGTATATGGTTATATATTAGAAAACCACCAAAGTCTTTCCATGCTCTAAATAAAAACCTTTTTATCTTCTAGACAGTTTTTTCCTTTCAGATAAGTATTTTCTGGCATCATATTTTACTAATAAAATACTGTCTTTGTATTTTCCAGGAGAAGAACTCTAAATATTACAACTACACGCTGTCGGTGAACGGGAAGGCTCAGAAACATGGAGCAGACTACAGTAAAGATTACCTGACAGACGTACTGGTGAGACACATCACCAAGGATTGCTGCCGTCACTATAACACAAATTATATTATAATGTTAACACATCCTTCATATTCTGTCCTCAGTAACTGTTACTTTTTCATGCAAGCCACTAATTTAAAGTGTCACTGATGTTTGTATTGGCAGTTATTACTTTAAAAACTGTTATATTTAATGTAGTTTTGTTGTAAATTTTAAAGACTAATTAGAAGGAAATATATGAACTGGGTCTGCAGGATAAATTATGTTCAGGAAAAATTTTTAATTAGAATTGCTGTGCATCATTTTAATTATTTCCAAGCTGCAAATGATCATAATCAAGTTTCGGTTTTTAATATAATGCTCTGTCTCTACCTGTCTCTCTCAGGCCAACATGTCCCTGGACTTCCTCCAGTATAAATCCAGCTTCTCGCCGTTCTTCATGATGGTGTCCACGCCGGCCCCCCACTCCCCCTGGACCGCAGCCCCTCAGTACCAGGACAGCTTCAACAGCACCAAGGCTCCCAGAGACCCCAACTTCAACGTCCACGGGAAGGTAGGATTTGTTCAGAAGACACAGAAGGGAATATTTTAAAGTGTTGATGAAACAACAGTCCAGTGAGTCAGTGAGGAGGAGCTCCATCTTCAGGTCGACTTTGTTTCTCTCTTCAGGACAAACACTGGTTGATCAGACAGGCGAAAACCCCCATGTCCAACTCGTCTGTTCAGTTTCTGGACGACGCCTTCAGGAAACGGTCGGTCATTTCATTTGTTTTACTTATCTTTCCTAAAATTTAAAGACGCCTATTTTTACCAAGATAAGTTGAAACTCTTCTCTGCTTGTAAACAAAGTAGATTATGGCAAAATTAATTTGACCTTTTCACGAGCTGTGAACTCTTTACCTGTCGTTTTGCAGCCAGTTGACACCAGACTTTTCCCCCTGAAAAACAAATAAGAGCATCAATTTCAATTTCATTAACACCTTAAAATTAACTGCATCACAAGTGGTAAATCAAGGGAGAAGGTCATGTGCCATTTATGCACCTTTTTAAAATTATATTCTGTTTCCACTTCATTTGAACATTTAGCTGCTTTTTGTTTGTCAGATGAACAGCAGAGATATGAAACTCTCCCACTTGTGTGTTTGTAGTTTTATTTTGAAAGGTCTCCATCTGTACAGTGAGATTCTCAGTCTGGAGTCACTGCATGTTTCCTGTTGCTCCTCCCGACCTGCAGGTGGCAAACTCTGCTGTCGGTGGACGACCTGGTGGAGAAGATAGTGAAGAGGTTGGAGGTCAGAGGTGAACTGGACAACACCTACATCTTCTTCACCTCTGACAACGGCTACCACACCGGTGTGTACACACATAAACATGAGTGTGTAGAGGCTTCCAGCATCTGTCTATTTACTTCCTGTTTGTCTAGTCAGCAGGAAATCTCTGATTTCGATGAAATTTAAATTAAATTTAGAGAGAACGTGAACACTCTGAGACAGGACATTTTCTCAGGAGCTTCTGCATTGGTACAAATCATTAATACAGATCCACAAATAGAATAAAAATCTGATATTAAAGTGATAAATGTATTGATTGTGTAGCTATGATGGAGGTGTGTGCTCTCTCTCTCTCTCTCTCTCTTTGTTTTCATCCTCTCTCCATCTCTTGTTGTCCCTCAGGTCAGTTCTCTCTTCCTCTGGATAAGAGGCAGCTCTACGAGTTTGACATCAGGGTCCCTCTCATGGTCCGAGGACCAAACATCAAGCCCAACCAGACCAGCCAGGTACACACACACACACGCACACACACGCCTGTGTTATTTACAAGCTTCAAACTACCAAAATATCTTTTACTGGCTTTTGTTTGTTTGTTTTTGAGTAGTTATTTCCCGTCAGTGTCCTCCTCCTCTAATGAAATGTAGATGTAATGCTGATCAAGTTTACTTGTAATTGCAAACTTAATTAAATAAACTGTCTAATTCGAACTGTTTTAAACTGGCAACAGCTGTAACAATCAACAAAGTGCTTCACGATTACTAATGAAAATGCTGTGATCAAACTGTATTCAGCAGGACAAACAAACCAGAGGGACAGAACAGGAAATTTAATATCATAGACCGACTCCTTTTCTTACATTTACTGTTACAAAACTACTGTGACAATTAATGTTTTTAACAGCATTTTAAACTGAAACCAGAAGCAGAAATGCAGAACAAAAGCATGAGGACTATGACGAGGTCAATAACAGTTTAACTTGATCTGTTGTTGCCTCTTTAGACTCCAAATAACAACATCAGATACTTAAATAACATGAAACTAGCAGAAGCTGGAGTCACTTCAGTTACTGTCAAGAAGTACACACCGACACATTTATGCAACTGACTAGATAACAGTTACACAACGACACTTAAAGCTCACATAATCCAAGATAATTATGGAGGAAATTTAAATGAATGTGACTGAAGAGGGAGAGAAGGATTCTCTGTAGGTTTGTGTTTTCCTTTCATGTATCAAACCCTCCATAGTACGGAGGAGGATTAGGGCCACGTGTGAAAAAAATGACTGACTTTTTTTTTTTTAAAGAATTATGAGTTTCTAAAAAGAATATATATTTTTCACATTGAAAAACAATGTGTTATTCTCTATTGACCTGAGCTAAACTGAACTCATCACTTCGTCAGATGCTGGTGGCGAACGTCGACCTCGGTCCGACCATCCTGGACATCGCCGGCTACGACGTCAACAAGACGCAGATGGACGGCATGTCCTTCCTGCCCGTCATGGTGAGATCACTGCACTAATGGTTTCTCTACAGACACAGTTCATATGCATCACTGAGGGACAGAGATGTGGTGACACAACCGGCTCACAATGTTCCTTTTAATTTATTCTGTCGGGGCTCGTTAACGTCACAGTGAGTCTCCCTCACTCAGTCATAAACATTTACCCATTAACCAGAATCAGGTCAATCAGCTGCAACAGTTTGGGAGTTTTCAGAGGCAGTGAGTTATGATTTTAACTTTATACTGCTCCTAGTTAAAGCTTATTATCTGTGTTTTAAACTGACTGTTTTTATAATTAGATGATTGCCTAGCCAGATTGTTGTTTCTTTCCCTTTTTTTAAATGCAATTTATGCTGGGTTGAAACATTTAAAATAAACAGAAGAATTCCCAGATTGTTAATTATTTTATTTAATGATATAAAAATGTAAATAATGAGACCCACATGCAGTTCTCAGAGGAAGCTGTTCAATCTTGAATCTCATAACAAAAGCTCAACTAGTGAGACGACATCCGGCTTCACAAAGATAAAATGAAGATGAGGAAAATCCATCAAAAGTCAAAGGTTACTGAAACATTAGGCCTGAAGACCGAGGCTAAGATTATTATTAGTGTTATCAGTAGTACAAGCAAGATTCACTAGATTAAATAATAATAATAATTTACTAAGATTAAATTAGAGTAACATTAACTTTAAAGATGGAAATAATAGTTGTCAGTGGATGCTTGTAGTAAATATAATGAGTGTGTGTGTGTGTGTCACCAGGAGGGGAGGATGAACAGCAGCAGCTGGAGGACAGACATCCTGGTGGAGTATGAAGGAGAAGGCAGCAACGTGACCGACCCCGCCTGTCCTCTGCTGGGACCCGGAGTGTCGGTACGAAGGGAAACTAAAATATAATCTGTAGGAAAAGAGCAGAAAAAACACAAACTCCTCTCTCTCCTCTGGTCTGTATCTTTAGGAGTGTTTCCCAGACTGTGTGTGCGAGGACTCGTACAACAACACCTACGCCTGCGTGCGAACCGTCGCCCCCTCTGCCAACCTGCAGTACTGCGAGTTTGACGACAACCAGGTAAAGTGGAAAACTTTAAACCTGCTTCCTGTTTGAAATCATTAGGAATGTCTCAGCGTGGTGTAACGTTAATGTGCGTGCGTCCCCTGTAGGTGTTTGTAGAAGTCTACAACGTGACCGCCGACCCCTACCAGCTGACCAACATCGCAGGCTCCATCGGCCAGGACTTTCTGGAGAAGATGAACCACCGGCTGATGATGCTGCAGTCCTGCTCGGGGCAGTCATGTCGGACACCCGGCGTCTACGATCCAAGGTCTGTTCACTGCTGCAAACTCTGCATTTTTAGTGAATAAAAAAGTAAATAAATCAGACGTTTTACCCAAATCTCCCTCCCACAGTCAAATCAGATATTTCCTGCTGCAATAAAACTATGATAAACTGAAGGAGGAGCTTCCTGTACTGCAAAAAAACAATGTCCAAAGTATAAATACTACTGTATATATTTTTTTTAATTTGAAAAGGAATTGCTTAAAGAAAAAGTTTAAATAAAAATCAGTATCAGAGCTAAATGATTCTTCATTTCTCAAACCGTCTACACTTGACCGGATTATTATACGAGAAAGAGGAAGTCATTCTAACAAACAAGCTTTAATGAATCCGCCTGTTTCCCCTCAGGTATAAATTTGACCCCCGACAGATGTTCACCGGCCACAGCTGGCGGCTCAGCAGACTCCGACAGACGATGAAATAAGAACAGACGGAGGAAGAAGGGCTGTGTCGTGCGTCTGTATTCAGCCTTTCCTGCTGTTGCTGCCTGTTTGTTTTCAGGCCTCCTGAGCCAGTCGCTTCCACACACGGATCGAGAAGGGATCAGGTGGGGTCATATTTTTTGGGTGGTGGGTTGCCATGGAGACAGGAGGCCTTTCTGGGTGCAGGACCTACCTTTTTTTTTTTTTTTTTTTAAAGCTTTCAGTGTGGGCTGCTGTTTAGTGAGTTTGTCAGTAGGTGTCGCAGCAAAGCCAAATTATTAAGGATGGATTTACTTTTTATAAAATGTCTGTTTTCTCTGTAACACTTTATTTTACAGGTTCTGGATTTTACAGATAAGTTCGTGGAAACTTTCCTCACAATTTCCTTAAAAAAAAAAAAAATACAGCTGTGAATTGCAATGTTTCCAAGAACATCTGGCACAATTTGATACTAATTATAAAGGGAAATGGAAAAAGTGTTGTTTGCTACAGTTGTTCAGTACCTGCTTGATGTATTCAAGTTTTTAGGAAAAGAAGAAGAAATTATGTAGCAGGTGAGAAATAGTTCAACAAGATAATCAGATAGAAAATGTACCAAACTGAGTCACTTTATTTTGCACATCTGGTCTGTGGAAATGACGTTTCTAAGTAGAACTAATGAGTTTGTTTCTGGAGCGTATTTTATTTGTTGATCATTGTCAGTTTAAAAACACAAAACTAAGGCATTTCCAGTGCAGCTGAAAACCAATAATTCAACCAATATGCAGCATAAACGTCAGTTACATGAATATGTACAGATTAGCATAATTATTAGCATTATCTGTAACATATGGCAGCTCAAAGCCAGGAACAATCTGACACTATAAAACTCTGATGGATATTTACGTCTGTTTATTATTTATTTTTTATTTAACTACCACATTATTTCCTAGTTTGTGTTTCTTTCTTAAAAACTTGACCATAACGAGCAGGTGCCTAATTATCAGTAGCAACTTACACTTTCTCTATTTCCCTTATAATTAATACCAACTTGACAGCTATAAAAACCAGCTCATTTTTATGAAATCCTGAGGAAAGTTTCCTGTAAAATAAGGGATCAATAAAATAAAGGGTTAGCAGAAAATCATGTCAGTGATCCAAACAGTGTTTTTCATTTACTTGTGTAAACACAGGCCGTCTGGTTCCTTTTTGGTGCATTCATTTGGTCCTTAAGAGCTTGTAGGTTTACCACCAAGAAGCTGTACACAGATGTTTGGGAAAGACGTATTTCTAGAGGTTATTTCAATTAATTGATGAAGCAGTTTTTCTTCCCTTTCTTCAATTAATAATTAAGCCTAGAAAATTAAATATAATGAAAATATGGTGAAAAAAATACTCCAAAGTTTGTAAATTGGCAAAAACAGAAGAGAAAGAGAAAAATCTCAAATCTAAAAAGCTCATTTTTATTACAATAAATCAAAATTAGCGATTAATTAGCTGTTGATTAACTCTCCACTCAACATCAGCTAACGATCTGCCAGGTTACTGGTAAATAAATACAGTATATACGACACTTCTGACCTTTATTTGTCTGTGATAACGTACGTAACTGATTTTACCAGCTGATCAAGAACATCAGAGACGTTTAATTGATCATTTCAAACTTCACAAGTTGATGACGACCAATCGAATGCAGCAAAAACAATCCTGTGTGAGACAGTAAAGGTTCGGTCACATCACTCTTCTGTTCTGTTAAACAGCCCCGAAAAATTGTTAGAAATAAATACTGATCAGAGTGACACATCCCTCTGTTGACTGGTAAAATGATAAAATAATAACTTTACTTTGTTTCTGTTGGAACATCCGCTCAGTTAAAGTCAAATACAGGTGAATTCTCACCTGTGAGTCGGAGCTGGACATCACAGCCAAACAGGAAACACCTGAATTCATCTGTTGTGCAGGTTTCAATAGATATGAACGGGAACAAATACTCACATGATGGAAGAGTAACGTGACTGTACCTGGAGTAAATGGAGAGAAAAAAAAAAAAAGAGCGCCACCTACAGAAAATCAAACTTCATAAACAGGAAGTCCAACAGAAAAACACAACGAGTGCCTAGAAAGAGACGGAGACCGAGGCCTAACACCATTATCGTTCACAGCTAACACAGAGTAGTTATTACACACTGAAAAACAGGCAACCAGTGATGAAATGGTGGCTTCAGAGGAAAGGTCAACAAACCTAACGCCAAACTGGAAAAAAGAATCACACGAGACAGGAAGCGATTTCTAAGAATCGTTAGTTAAATCTCCGTCGCCGTTAAATTTATGAATCTAATTTAATGGTTCGTTACTGTCTCCAGCACTAAATCATTTCACTGCATTTTTCTAAACTGTGAAAAGTGTTGACGCATCTTTGTTCATTCATGAAAATTCAAATTAATTCATCACTTTCAACACTTGTCTTTTCTAACCGTCGTCGTTCCTCTCTCTGCGTTTTCAGTCATCGGTGTGCTCGTGGTTTACAGTTCATACCGAGTTTATTTCAGCCACAACTGACAGTCTTAGTGTTTTACTAATAATTTCATGTTTGTAGCATTTCATTGAGCCGATCCAGAAACACTAGATTGGTTTCAGGTTAACGACCTAATGGGAAGCAGGAGGCAGTAATTCTAGAAAAATATGTATATCTTGACAAAAAGTCGATTTTCTATCATCAGGGTAAAATTACATCAGTTATGTTTTTTAATGTGTTTTTTTCTTTTTTTTTTTTATTAAGAGTGAAATTTATGTTTCTAACAGTAATTCTCATTTTGTTTAATGGGTTGTATGTGAGAATGTTTTAAGGCTAAACAAAAATATATGTAATTTGAACAGTTAACAATAGAAAAAGGTGTGATTGATGTATTTTATGTTCATGCAACCTCCTTCAACTTTAAGGGAACTGATTTTTTTTTCTTTTTAAATTTAAAATCACTTTATCTTTATGCCATAAATTACATTTATACAAAATAAATCTAAAAAGTTATTTCCTTAGTGTTTTTACGGCCCTGACTTGCTGGGGTTTTGGATTTTTGAAGGCTGATATATTTTAATAGAAAGGAGCGGTTCCACATATTTATATCATATCTCTTAGCAAGAATGCAAATAAACATATTTCCCATATGTTGAACTTTTCCTTTAAAGCCGATATTTTGCGCCGACATTAAAAATTTATAAAAACATGATCAAATCTCAGATGTTTAACATCCGACCAAAGATTTGATCCGGAGACTTTTGAGGAAGATTTCCGGGGAGGGGGGGGACTGAATCTTTATTTTTTTGTGTGTTTATTTTGATTGTGAATTAAGCAAAACAAGCCAGCTGTTACCTGTGAATCAGCCATTTCCACCTGTTCCCACTGCTGCCGTTGATGTAATTCTCAGATCGTAATGTTCATACAGCTCTTTCTTCCTCTGCAGTTTGTTCTGAATTAAAAAAAAATTAAAAAAACTTTAATGTGTGAACACTGAGATTAACGTCCTGACACCACAGGACTCGACGTAAACACAAACCGATCACTTTGTCTCAATTCACTGATGCACTTTCCAATCTGTCAGAACTGTTCTGTTGTTTTGGCACCTTTTAGTTTTATTTTTCAAAGTAGTTTTTGACGATGATGATGATGATGTATTTTTTGCTTGTGTTTTTGTCCAAATAAAGAAATTCTCAAGATCAAAAAAGAGTAATTATTTCGCCACCATTGTCTTAATTTAAAATGTCAACGATCTTTTTGTCATATTTAAAAGATGTTTTTCAGCATAAGATTTGAACATTTGTTAACTTTTAAAACCCAAAGCCAGTACTCACCTTTATTCCTTATCGCCATCTAAATGGTAGAAAAACAGATCAGTGATTACTTTTCTCGATTAATCAACAAACCGTTTCATCAAATATCAGGAAATATGAAGAAATTAAAATTACCTGTTGCAATCTTCCAAAGAGATTTCTTCAAATGTCAGTTTACAATTAAATAAACCGGAGAAAATGTCTAGAAGCTGCGGCTAATGAGTGTTTGCTAGAAAAATAAACATTTGAATGAAGTCAGGGAAATGTGAATTTAACATAAAATGTTTATTTTAAAATCTAACTTTTTGATGTGATGTTAACAGTATATATTCTCATTGTGTTGACAAGGTCTAAAAATCAAATCTCCAGGGTGAATTTAAAATTCCTCAGTCCAGGCTGCATCTCGTACGACCAAGAGAAAATCACTAATCTGAGTCCATTTAAACATCAATGTGTCTTACAAACAAAACAAACTATCGTGTCAATTAAAGGCCACAGTGTCCATCTACTATTTCACAGTCAGTTGGATTACTTCACGCTCTTTCAACAAACATCATTTCTACAATTGAACAACATCATGTACAGTATTTTGACACGCTTCATGTTTTCCGAGCTAAAAAGTTACATTCACTTCATTTACAATGTGACATTTCATCACTCGCAGTCCGTAGACATTTGACTTTTCTAAAAATGTCTTTAGATGCTCAGTTCACCTCTCAGATCATTCCTGGGTGACAAGGCGACCCACAGAGACCGACCTGAAGCCACAATATCCAGGTCTGATTGATAGAGCATCCACGTGTCGCTCCAGATGTGAATATCGACTAGAAACCTTAAAAATGTAAAATCCAGACACGTCACAAATTTCCTTGTAGCTGCTCGTCATGTACGGACCCTTAAACTGTCCGAAGAAAGAAAAACAAAAAAAGATCAGCTGTCCCACCCCTCCAGGACGGGCAGGAAGGGCAGGTCGGTGCTGCCCAGGTACGTCCTCCCTCGGTGCTGGAAGACGTCGCTGATGGCCCACGTCAGGCGGCCCTCGGGGTCGTGAAGCGTTCCCACGAGCTCACCGTCCAATCCCAGCTCCAGGACCAGAGCGTAGCGCGGCAGCAGGAGGTTGTACAAGCTCAGAGGAATCACCTGGAAAACACAGATAAGTTTAATACAGTTACAGTCCGCTGGTTATTTCTGAAAAGACCTTCATCTTGATTATGCTCATCCACTGCGATGAGATCTACATTTTGGTAGAATTAAAAAGTGCATATGCTCTATAACTTTTATAACTATTCTTTAGAAAAGAATTAGAAGAAATAAGCATTCAAATTTTAACATACATTTCAATCTAGAAATTAAAAAGAACTGATGAAGTTTGGAGAAAAAAAAAAAGACGTTAACACTTTATTTTACACATCTGTAAATTCCGATTAATTTCCAAATAATCTCCTAAGAAGTTTCCTGGAATAAAAAATTAATTTGGTGTTAATTATATGTAAAACAGAGAGGGATTTAAAAATACTAAGCAACACAACCTTGAGACATTTATCCAGATTCACAGCAGGTGAGCTAAACATGAAAGAAACATGTCTGCAAACAAACAAATATACCACTCAGGATACAAGAAGAATAAAGTTGCCAGTAATAAATGAATGAATAATAAATATTCACTGGGGTTTGAATGCAGCAATATATTTCATGTCCATCACGCCATTACCATTACCATCTGGTCTAGTTGTTCTCTACATCAATCAACTAACCAATAATTTCTCAATCTTTTCTATAAATCTATCTGATTATATCCATCATATACTAAATACCAAATATTCAGTTTAAAGGGGTGAAAAACACGCTGACCTTGGCCAGGAAGCGTTTGACAGCCGGGTACGGGGCGATCATATCCAGGAAGGGAGGCGTGAGCTTCCGGAACCGTGGCGTTGTTACGCCAACCAGGAATGTTCCATGGTCGCTAAGGCGGATGTTGTCAGGGTAACCAATCATGTTGTCCATGAGGATCTCCTTGGTACCAGCCTTCGGGCCCTTCAGCCAATATCTGAAGCATAGAGTGAGAGTCGACTGAATATTCGTCCTGATGTTTGTAGCTGATGTTCGTCGTGTCACGTGCAGCGCATGTGTGCGTTCGTACCTCAGGATGCGTCCGATGCTGGTTTCGGCCAGCAGCAGGAAGTGTTCGTCAGGTGACAGGACGATGCCATTAGGCATGTAGAGAGAGTCCAACAGGACCGTCACACTTTCTGTCTGAGGATCGTAGGAGAGGAGACGGCCAAGGCTGTTCATCTCGATCACCTGAAACAACAAACCGTAACCGTAGGATGTGGTTGACATGTCCACAGAAAGTAGTAGGTAGACCTTGAGTTAAGATCTTGAGTGAAAGTATCTTTGTGAAACTATATTTTGTTGGCTTAGTTTATTTTTAATAAAGCTTAGCTTAGTTTAGCATAGCTTATTTTCATTTACAGTTTAGTTTACTTCAGCTATTCAGTTTAGTTTCTTATCAATTACTTTATCTTAATTTAATTTATCTTAGCCTAACTGCTAGTTAAGTTAAACTTAGTCTGGTTTAGCCAAGTTTATCTTTGTATAGTACATCCTCGCTTAGTTTAACTTTTTAAGGTAATAGGTTAACATTAGTTCAGCTTTTCAGTTTAATTTTCTTTCCTTTAATATCTTGTTAGCGTAGTTGGTCTTAGCTTAGACCAGTTTACCTTTGCCTAGTTTAAAGTTAGTGTTTGATTAGCTTCAATTAGCTTAGTTTAGCTTTTCAGTTTAGTTTGGCTTATTTAAGTTTTGGTTTGTTGTTTGTAAAGACTGACCTTTTAGCTTCGTTTAGCTTATATTTGGTTGAGTTTAACTGTACTTGGTTTAGTTAAACCTAGTTGAGAGCACTGCATTTCTTTTTCTTTTTTTTTTCTTTTTTAAATCAGAAATTTACATTTTAATTTAAACAGAAAATTATATATTTTCATATTCATGAACAACAGAGGCCTAATATTTTCTGTTTTGGCCACATTATGATTTTTTCTCTTCTCCCTTCAAACCAAAATGTCAACTTTGCACACAACTGAGATTTCCTGGCAAGTTACAATGTAATAGGTGATAAAGGGTCCATGTCATGACAGTGTTAAATGGATTAATAGGGATACTGGAAACCAGGTTTTTCTTTTACATGGCAGATTCAGAAATCAGGGTTGTGCTAAAAGCCTGGTGAGTTTTTAAGTGCACGTAAACACCGTCTCTCCTTGAGCCTCATCTGCAGAGCTCTGTGATTTGTTGAACTGAATGGACTCTCAGCTTTCTCTTTTCTGGCAAAGCAGCCAGATGGACGGGTAAAAAGAAGTGTCCTCATGTGGTTTTTGGAGAGCTGTGGTTTCTAAGCAACAGTGAAAAAAAACCTTAATGAACCCTGCTTGAATCAGCTTTCCTTTGCTTGATTATCTATTTGAAAACCACTTTTCAGAGTTACTTCACTTACCCTCTTTTCGACTCTTTCAGATTCTCCTCAGCTTTTCTTTTAAATTTCTAATCCAAAAAAACAAGTGACTGAAGATTTCTCTGAGACATGCAGGCGATCGGCCCTGAACTGACCCATCTTTGTCTTCACCTCACCTCCAGTTTGACGTGTCTTCGTCCCCAGCGACTGGAAGAGTCTGTGAAATAGATGATCCCAGTTTGGGAGGAAATCTCGAGGCCGTTTAGAAAGGCGAAGGGAACGTCATCAGCACCTGAGGACAGAGAGGAGAAAAACAAGGAATTAATTTGCATATTATGAAGTGGGCTTTATTTAACATGCATGCCAGCACAAACACACACTATACCCTGTGAATTAGCCACCAGCAGAGTCTTTTCTCCAGTCGTCGGGTCGACGCTGTGCAGCCCAAAATAAGAGTCGGCGACAATCAGTTGACCGTGACGATCCACACGAACACCATGAGGACGACCACAGACAGGTTCATAGTCTGTGCTGCTGCCTGCAGCCACAAAGACACAAAATACTCAGTGTGTTTTCAAATGTCTTTGTGATTTAAGATATTACAGCTGCTAATGTTGATAATTTTGTTATCACAAAGAAAACAACCGAATTGTTCTTTTCAAGGCTCTTGATTTTAAGTTATTAACAATTTTCATCCCAAAACATCCAGATTTTGAAAAGGAGAGAGGATGTGTTTCTAGTTTCTAGTAACTGAGTGTGAAGTGAAGTGTTGGAGGAATAGAGACAGGACGCAGGAGCCTCTGAATAAAAACACAGAAGAAAAAAAACAAACCACATTCTGGCAGATTCTGTCCCATCTGAGTGACGAGGGTGAGGCTGTCATCGAGACCGATCCTCCACAGCTTCCCATCCACTGTTCCTGTGTACACGTTACCTGACACACACACACACACACACACTTAATAAATATGAAAAACATGTTATGAAACCAGGTTTCCATGTGACATACGGGGGGAAACAAGGAAGGACAAAACACCTTCCATAGAGCACAGGCAAAGGTCAAAAGTCAAAAGCCATAATGATTAATTGATTAGTCGTTTAAAGTGCAACTACTTTGATAATCAATTAATCGTTTTGGTCTAAGCTAAAGCTAAAATTCAAACTATTTCCTAGTTAAAGTTTCATAAATGTGACCGGCTGCTGCTTTTCTGTCATATCTGATTACAAACTGAATATTTTGGAAGCACCTTCAACATTTTATAGATAAAATAATGAAATCAATTAACTATGAAAATAATCCACAGATTAATCAATAAGGGCAATAATCATTAATTGCAGCTTTATTCAGACCATCCAACCCCTGAGTCAAAATAATGTGTGATCCAGACACACACTAAATCCAGCATACTCACCGTTCTCATCAGCAGTGAAGGATTCTGGTCCGTGTAGTTTACCAGTGAACAGCCTCTGGCCCTTCTGCAGGCGGGTGTTGACGGCCAGCGGCCCCTCGAGGGCCGGAGGGGGCCCCTTCAGTCTGGAGGGGCAAATATTTTTTTTAAGAACCTTGTATCACTTATTGTGTCTATGATAGTTAAACCCAAGCGTGTGTGTGTGTGTGTGTGTGTGTGTGTGTGTGTGTATGTGTGTCTCTGTACTTACACATGTGGTTTGGGGTCTATGGGTGAAGGCAGCAGGTAAACTCCAACAGCCACAGCGAGCAGAGCCACAAACACTGATCTCCTCCCCAACCTGACGGAGAGCGCCACACACAGACTTAAACTCACAGAGCAGCTCTGATCTCTAATCTCTGCTCACGGCATCAATCCTCTTTATTCATTAAACAATTGAACCATTTCGTTGGTCCTTTAACCTCCGAGTGCAGTAAAGTTTTAAATGTGGTTACACATCTTTTTTTTCTTTTTTTTTTTTTTTATGAGATCACCATCATCTTTAACCTTTAACCTTTACCCAACAAAATCAAATTAGTTCATCACTGAGTTCTAGTGAATGTTTGTGCCAAACTTGAAGATGTTCCTTCAAGGCGTTACCGAGATATTTTGTCCACGAGAACAGGACGGACAACCTGAAAACAATATGGCTCCGACAAGGAGCAATAAAAACAAACAAACATATTTTTAGATTTTCATTTTTTGTCATATATCTAACATTTTTACAACATTTACAACCAATTAAATCAATTGATGATCCATTTAATAACTCAATTTAAAGCCTGAACTTTTACACAATAAAAGAAAAAAGGAAGAATGGACACTGACTGAGTCATGTCATTTACTTTACGCACATTGGGCCTCAATGTGAAAACAGCTTTAGTTTAAAACCTCAAAGTTAAAAGGACTCTGTTCTCACTATCTGTCGGTCTCACACAAACACCGAGATGAACTTTAACTCTGTATAAGATGCTTCAGAGGATCTGCAGTGTGCAACACAAACCTAATCCTGTCCATTACACACAGTCACACTATGGAAATCAGTTCCTTGTTCCTCAGCTGATAAGAGAAGGTTAAACAGGCAGAGGTTCAGATATGACATCCGGACACTCAGCCAAACAATATCTCCAGTCTTTTCTCCTCACTCCTCCTCAGTGTGAAATGGTGTGAAAAAGTTTTTTTTTAAATTCTACTGACTGAAACAGATCATTACATGTTCATATTCATGGTTTATTCACAGGTTGTATAATGTGCACTTGCCCTTTAAAAAACAAAAAACCTATGACTTAACCTGGTTGTGTAATTCATCCCGACACATCTGGAGACTGCAGACACACTGGGATGTATAAGTATTTAAGATTTACCGGTTCAGGTATGAAGAGGTTAATGTGCACAGACAGGAAATTACATTTTTGAGCCAGCATATACAAATAATTAAAAATGATTTTAACTGTTATCAGCTCATCAGCTAATGTTGCCTGACAAAGCCCTGCAGTGAAACTAAGTGCAAAGTGTCTCATGCAGATGCATCATTAAAAACACGGCGTCAAAAACTTTATTATAAAATATGCAATTCTTTATTCTCTCCTGCAGATATTATAGACACTAATATAATTTACAGGTGAACGGAGTGATCTGGTTGCACGGATCTGTTCAGGTACCGCTTCTTGCAGCTGTGCGGATCGACATTAGCTCAACAGGTAACAGCTGAGCCGATGGTTAAGGTTTATTGTTGTAAAAATAAAAGCCGGCGTGTGTGTTTCATTGAAGCCGAAAAGTAGATAAACTCACGACGTTTGCCAAAAGAGTCACGAATTAAATTTCACATCGCGTCTGTTTTAATGATGAACAAAAACTCGTTAAATTGATGGATGTTTTAACGCGGTTTGGCAACGCCCAGAGAACTTTGAAACTTGCGAGTTTAAATGTTTTTTATTTTGTGCGAGTTTAATTAAATAAAGTGTCAAACTTACATGTTTGAGTTTTGAGTCGACGTCTCTTCTTCCCGCTGGATCTCACAGGTCTGACCAAGGAGCGATAAATGAGTGTGTGTTTGTGTGTGTTAGAGGCTGAGGAGTGTGTGAAAGACACCAGAGTTTAAAACGAACACTTCCGACTTGGACTTTCAAAATTAAAGCCGCGTCCGAGAACAAGTTTTCATTTCATGTGCTTCTATATTTTCAGACTTTTCAAGTCAGTACGTGAGAGCTTCATACTTATTTTTTGCATTAGGGCCTTATGTGATTTTTTTCCCCTCAGAATTAAAGTTAAAGTCAGAATTCTAAAAATAAAATAAAAAATAAAATTCACATATGGCCCTAATCCTCTCCTGTACTGTCACTTTAAGAGACAATGTTCAACTTGACTATATTACTGAAGGAAATGTAATTAAGGTCAGAGATTTGCTTTTGAGCCCTTGCTGACCTTTCTGGACATTTTATACTTTATACCAGCTTCATTCATTCATTAAATTAAACTGCACTTATTTTGAAATGGAGATGGTCTTCAGGTGAGTTAGCTCACCTGTGCTATTAAACACTGCAGGAAACCCTGATGTTAAAAACAGACTGTGACACTGGTCCCCACGATAAGACACCAAGATTTTGTGATAATACAGAATGTGAATTAGTCAACATTGTGCTGTCGTGGTGTAAATTACAAAAGACGAGTACAAATAGATGCAAAATGACCATAAAGAGACATAAAACAGAGACGTAAAATGGCTGAAAAGAGACACAAAAAAATGCAAAACAAGACACAAAGTGATGACCAGAGGTGGGTAGAGTAGCCAGAAATTGTACTCAAGTAAGAGTACTGCTACTTTAGAATTTTATTTCTCAAGTAAAAGTAAAGAGTAGTCACCAAAATATTTACTTGAGTAAAAGTAAAAAGTATGTTGTGAAAAAACTACTCAAGTACTGAGTAACTGATGAGTAACCTATTCGTTTAATGATGACGGCAACAAATAATGCACAAAAACATAAAAATAGCGATGAACAAATTCAGAGCCAAGAATATCTCTTAAGCAACTAAAACAATAATAAATTAAATAATAATACATTAAAATTGTCGCGAAGCGCTAGTTGTTGCCATTGTGTTCTGCTTCTTTGCTGCCTGTGTTTGCCGGTGAAAGTTCGTGTGCAGTTAGTCATGTGACCGCCTGGCTCTGTTTGATTGGTGAAACGCAGTCAAACGTCACCAGTGACTGCATTTGATTGGTGAAACGCAGTCATGCGATGGATCCTACTTTGGAGGTCTCTGACAAACCAAAACAAACAAAGCGTGCATTAACGGATCAATAAAAATATGTAGCGAGTAGCGAGCACAATCAAGGAAGATTGCGCCGGTAGAGGATGACATTAAAAGTACAAGAAATTCCTGGAGAAATTTTGAATGTTCCTGCTGCTTGGCGCTTGTATTTCACTCCTCTCGTTTCAATCTGCACAAAGGACGTTACTTTCAGCTTCATTCATGTCGTAGAGACTCATCCTGACTCTGACCTCAGTCACTGCAGCTGTCCCTCAAAAAGCCCACAACAACAATCACAGCCTCCACAATGACCATTAAAATAGACCAACACTTCTCAAACAGATTCAGTAAATACTGAACATTATAATCCTCATGAAGGAGGATTTACTGCAGGCCTGTTCCATTATACTTCATTAGTTTCATCCAGGTTCACATAATACATATATATGAATTAAAAATAGAACTCAAGGACACAAGTGCTAAAACAAATCAGCCCTTTATTTCAAGATTACCCAATATACAGCAACACTTAATGAAATGCATTTCTTTGAACAGAACAGTAATAGGGTTAATGTGGCAGAGGTAAGTAACTGCAGACTATCTTAGAAAGGTTCACTGTGTAACTGGAGCTAGATGTCCTGAACTGTCCGTCTCATCTTGTAATACCACTGTCACTGTAGCGCAATAAACTTATCATAAACTAACTAATGGAACTTGAGGTACAGGTGAAACTGATAATCTCTCTCCAGGGCTCCTCACCCTGTGATAGTGAGTCATGTGATGACCTTAGTTTTCTCAACCGATGCCCATCCATCCACTGCACCACAGCACACGATGCACTGTCCACGACCTCCTCAGCAGCAAACAGCAGACAGACACGGTCCGAGAGCAGCTGCTGAACATATGGAGCAATAAGAAGCTAAAGAGACAGATTTCCCTCAGGAGCTGGTGGAGACCAAATACAGAGCTAAAAGAGAGGGAACACTGGACTGACATCATCATGAGACATCAGGTGACACAAACACCACTCCAAATGCAACAAATCAAATATAATAAATGTCAATTAAAAGTTATAAACGAAGATAAAAAACGTTGTCGGTCTTCTCTTCCCTCCACAGTCTTTCCACCAACAGTCACATGTTCTGATTGTCTAAGTTTTTTAACCAATAAAGAATAAAATAAAAAAAATGCTAATGCTAACTGCTAATGCTAACAAGCTAGCCCCCACCCCATGTTCTGCTTGTCCATATTTTTTTCAACAATAAAGAATCAAATAAAAAATGCTAATGCTATTGCTAGCTGCTAATGCTAACAAGCTAGCACCCACCCCCTAGTTCTGCTTGTCCATGTCTTTTCACCAATAGAGAATTAAAAAAAATGCTAACGCTAATGCTAGCTGCTAATGCTAGCAAGCTAGCCCCCACCCCCGGTGTTCTGCTTGTCCATGTCTTTTCACCAAAAGAGAATAAAAAAAATGCTAATGCTAATGCTAGCTGCTAATGCTAGCAAGCTAGCATCCACCCCACGTTCTGCTTGTCCATGTTTTTTCACCAATAAAGAATCAATAAAAAAAATGCTAACGCTAACGCTAGCTGCTAATGCTAGCAAGCTAGCCCCCACCCCACATTCTGCTTGTCCATGTTTTTTTCACCAATAAAGAATCAATTAAAAAAAAGCTAATGCTAGCTGTTAATGCTAACAAGCTAGCGCCCACCCCCCTGTGTTCTGCTTGTCCATGTTTTCACCAATAGAGAATAAAACAAAAAAAAAAATGCTAATGCTAATGCTAGCTGCTAATGCTAGCTGCTAATGCTAGCTGCTAACTGCTAACACCAATACACCGAAAACGCCGCATCTAGCCCCGCGCCCCCCCAGCGCACAGGCCATTGCGCCCCCAGCCGCAGGGCATAGCCGCCCGGCGTCTTAAGCCCGCGCCCGCCCAGCACAGGCATTGCGCGCAGCAAGCAGGGCCTAGCTCCGCACCCGGCGGCTAGCCCGCGCGGCCCCCCAGCACAAGGGCATTGCGCCCAGCAAGCAGGGCTTAGCCCCCGCGCGGCTTATCCGCGCCCCCCAAGCACAGACATAATAGACGCCCTAGCAAGCAGGGCTAGCCGCCCAGAGCGGCTAGCCGGGCGCCCCCCAGCACATGCATTGCCGCCCAGCAAGCAGCGGCTCAGCGCCGGGCGGCTAGCCCGCGCCCCCCAGCACAGGCATTGCGTCCGCAAGCACGGGCTAGCCGTCCCGGCGGCTAGCCCCGCGCCCCCCCAGCACAGCATTTTGGCCCGTTAAACCTATGGAACTGACTTAGCCCGCCCCGACTTAGCCCCCGACCAACTTAGCCCCCGACTTAGCTCCCCGACTTAGCCCCCCGACTTTAGGCCCTCGGACTTAGCCCGCCGATCCTGAGCCCGCAGCCTACACTCCCGTCCGACTATAGCCCCCCACTTGCCCCCGACTAGCCCCCGACTTAGCCGCCGACGTTAGCCCCCGACTTTAGCCCCCGACTTAGCCCCCTGGTTCACAACTTAGGCTCAAAATGTATTTGAGCTTATAAAGAATCGTTACCAAAATTCCAATATTTGCGAGTTGCCTAACATCAAAACTTTGTCTAAACCATGAAAAATAAAATCTGGACTTCTGAGCAATTCAACAGTTTGCAGTATGTGAAAACAAATTGTGCTTGTTGGCAAAGACATTTCTATTTGTTGGAGACTGGGTTGGGATCAAAACTCAACAAATGATCAGTGGTGAGGTAAACAAAGACACAAAGGAATGAAGAAATGCTTTGTGGACGTCTGTGTACAGAGATAAACAGCTGAAAACTGTAAAACTCAGTGTGCAAGATTCCCAGTGTGTGACACTGACAAGTACAAATTTTGATCCTTGTCACTTCAGTGTCACACTGTGGGAACTTTTGACCAGAGTTTTACTGTTTTCTGCTCTTTATCACAACACAGATGTTGACAAATCAATTTCTTCTGTTACAGTGTCTCTTTAACATTGATCATTTGTTGAGTTTTGATTCAGACTTTCAACAAATACAATTCTCTTTGACACAAGTGCAATTGTTTCACATACACAAACATGAATTTCTCCTGCAGATTTATTTTACAGGTTTACAAAGGTTGATTTACAACTACAAACATTGGAATTTATTTGTCAACATCACTTTACAAGCTCAAAATCATATTGACCCTAATTTGAGCCCAGGTACACAGTTACAGCCAACAGTTTTAAAAAAAAATAAAAAATAAAAAAAATAAAAAAAACCCATCTGCTAACTAACACACACATTTCTCAGCATAAAACAGGCTGTGTTACACCTTACCTGGTTGTGGTTTAACTGGTAGTTTACTATTTATAGACCTTTGGTTGGTGAATTGATAAACAGTTGTTACCAAGTAATTCCTCACTACATCAAAATAAGTTCCTTAACAACAAATCAGAGACAGCAAGTTTCCAAACAAGTATTTTAATTGTAATATTCAAGCCAAATATCAATAATCACATCCACGTTGTTTTCTGATTTCCATATGACGACTTAAATTTAATAACCACAATATCATTTTAACTCATCTTAAATGTTTAACTGGGTGTGGAAATGCAATTACACAAAATATAAGCTGTTAAAATAGGCTCAAAATTCTACTTGTAACTTCAGTGTCACACTGTGTGGGAACTTGAGTGCAAAATTTTACACAAACTGTCTTTCACATTGTATCTACATTACTTCACCACTGGACATTTGTTTGGTTTCATTAACAAAAGTCTTGTTTCTTTTTACAAATGCAAAAATTATTCAGTGTATTAT